AGGCACGGAAGCGAAAGACTCAGTCTCAGCTCTGACCGCACACCTCACGTAGGATGTACAGCTACGGTCAGCTGACGCACCAGCATCGCCGTCGCCACCACAGACTCTACAGCGGAAAATAATTCCCTTAGAGTTCTGTGCCCGGTTGACTCGGCCCCCACGTGACACTCACGTTCCGGGGACATCCGAATGCGAAGGCCTCTCCCGCCTCGGCTCGCAGACTCACTTGCGACTCACACCGAGAGCCGGACGGTCGCAGCGCATGGCACAACGGAGACAGACTCCACCGCAACGCAAACCTCGCCGCCGGGATGCAACACGCACCCTCGCATGAATCGTCCTGTTAAGGACCCGATTCCAACCACGCAGACGCAGCCGGTAATATCTTACCGCGCCCGTCACCTTTCATTCGAAACGCGCGGCCTTACACTCTGCCGCGAATGCGCCGCTGGCGCACTCAAGTTACACACACACTTGTACATACATACTTCTCTCTGACAAAGGAATAAACACATTTCTACACAATTGACTCTATCTCACTTCTCACCAGTCGAACACAATCCATTAGGCCATTCGCCTATAAAAATAAATAAATAATTTTATTATAAACGCTCTTACGTGTTTATTATAATATTTATACATATTTTAATATATTAAGACAATATAATTAATATACATTATAATAAAAAAAGTAATTATAAATTTGCAAAATAAACTAAATTATGTCTCACTTGATTGTTTTCATTTATTCTAACAATTCTATATTCAGCATTTGGCACAGGAATATTATTGACTATATTAATAGCAACTTCTTGATCGTTATTTATTGGTGGTACCCTCTCTTTTTCGTCACAGGCTTTATTATGTAAAATAGCTGTAGCTACTACCATAGCTTGAATTATGTCTAATTTTAAACATATTCCCATTGCTAATGCTGGAAATCTCCTCTTCCATACTCCATATGATCTTTCTACAACATTTCTTGTACAAACTAATGATTCATTATAAAGTGCCTCAGCATTATTTCTTACTTGCTGCAAAGGTGTTAATAAATAAGGCCTTATTGGGTAACCGCTATCTCCAACTAATACACTTTCTCCAAAACGTCCGTTTTCTAAATCAGCACATAAACCAGAATTTCTAAATATGTGGCTATCATGAGAAGATCCTGGCCACCGTACCACTATATCTCTTATTTTCAGAAATGGATTCGCAACAGTTTGTACATTTAAAGAAAAGAATTGTTTCCTATTGCGGAATATTTCAGCATTATTACCACCTGGTGATTGTATCTTCACATGGATGCAATCTATTGCTCCAATACATCTTGGAAATCTGGCGATATTATAAAATGCTTGTTTTACTTCAGTAGCGTTATCACCTTCAGGCATTTTTATATATCTCGGACGTAAAGTAGCTATGGCTTTAGAAACTCTTGCCACTACTCGGCTAGCCGTAGCTGTACTAACTCCACCAGAATCTCCTGCCACTCTCAGAAAAGACCCATTTGCATAAAAATTTAATACAAGTAATAACTGCTGGCTTGCAGTAAGACAATTATTTCTAAAAAAATATAAGTTAATTTAACAAAAACTATAATATTAGAAACAATAGAAAATTAATAAAATTAATACATAAAGTATTCACCTTTCTGTAGGATGTGAAATAATATCTCCAATTTCTTCCAAAATATTTTCAACTGTTCTTGGTCTTAACCTGAATGTACAGAAAAATTCATGTTGATTATACTCTTCAAAGTAATTTCGTCGTGGTCTGAATAATCGTCTTTGTATTGGTTCTTCATCACTGCTATATGCGTTAATATCTATATCCATTTTAGTATCCACTTCTAATTTTCTTATTTATATATACGACATATTTTTTGGAAATTGAAGGTTAAATCGTATTGAATTTTCAATTAACCCAAACCTCAAGTATTGGTAAAATATACCTAAGTTAACTTGATGGTTAAGTCCTAACCAAACATGGTGAAAGCCTGCGCAAAGGTTAATCTTCTAGTAATTCTTAACCTTTAGGTAACCATATATTGTGAAATTGGCCCTTAGGGATACTCCTCTCAAGAAAGGCTGGGTAGAGAGGGAACTTTCTCCCTCTCTTCCCAGCGGGGGCCAACCGTGAGCGGGGGCTCACGGTGGTCCCGGCCTCCCTTTATAAACCAGGGAGGGCGGGGGAGACCGTGGTAACCCGGTCTTCCCCCAGTAAGAGAAGAACT